GAATTGAATTTGCCCAGTTTGTCTCGCATTGTGCCATTTGTGTTGTACCCTGGGTTCAGCAGAATGAAGCTGGGAGGCTGATTTCTCCGAGTCCCATCTTGGAAAGTGGATTTTGGTGGGCATCAAATCAGGGATCTTTGTCTGAGGAAACAGTTGGGCTGGAAATGCAGCTGCTTTCTCTTTGGAATAAAAGATCATGTGACATTTTTCAAAGAGTGAAACTAAGGGCACCCTGGAACCCTAGGACTTTTTAATCTGTAAGTTTCATCAAAGCAAAGTGAGTTGACCCACTACAGGGATCCCAATAGAACTAAAGACGGTTAATGATTTATTATGAAGAACAGAAAAATGTGAGGAAAATCATGTGCCAAGGAGGAGAATTTTGCAATTTAAAAATGTGTGTGTGTGTGTGTGTGTGCGCGGGTGTGTGTGACATTTGTAAAATTTCACAAAATGTTTCCGTTTTGCCAGGCAGTGTTCCCAAAGCCAGACCTTGGAGCTCTGCACAGCACCTAGGCCAAAAGCAATCAACAGCCCGATCCCACACAACAGCGAGTTGGAAAACACGCCAGCCTCCCTCACATCACACAAGCAAAGAAACAAAAGCCACAGTGCTCAGTTGCACAACTCCTAGCAGAGTACCAAAGCAAGAAGCAAAATTGAAAGAAGGAAATCATTGAAAGAACAGGTTATTACCGACAGTTATGCACAATGGAGAGATACCTCAGTTTCTTCCAATATAAAATACAGATGGACTAGGTCTCTGAATTTGCACAAATGCAGTCACCAGATAGCCTAAGGAAGGAGGCACTTGGGGCTACCCTATACCTGCTTGGGCTCATAGAAGCATGGGCATGAGTCCTAGCCATCTGCCCACTGAGCAATGTCCTAGAACAACAATGAGCACACATCTTCTATACAGAGCCATGCATAAATATTTTAGGCTTCCTGAGCCATGGAGAATCTGTCATAACTACTAAACTTGATTCCGTCCCAATATGCATGTGATTGAATGGAGCTGTTCCAATAAAACTTTATTTACAAGAATAAATGGTGGATATTAGTTTGCCTGTCTCCAGTCTAGAAAATCTGATGAAAAGAATATATTTAGGTACTCAAACAAGAATAAGATTGAGTGATATTTGAAGGAAAAGGTAATTATTGCAAACTATGTAATTCTGATATAGACTGAATTTATCTAATTCTGTCTAATGCTTAATGTAAGACACAGAATTCAAAGAGATTATAAATTCTTTGGTAAGTCTCTCCTTTGTTTCAGTCTCCAGCTTAACTGTTCCCTTTGGAAAGGAGACTGCTGCAATCAAATTCATTCCCTTTTTCTTCCTCCCACATTCATCTTCACATCCATGCGTTCTTCTCTGATTCGCTGGAGTCTGGGGCACAGCCAGGCCATTGACGCTGAGGGAGGGGCTGTGGGTATGCTTCGTTGTTTCGCTCAGATGACAATCACAGTCAGAATCCTAAAACACTGCAAAGAAATATCTCCAAAGTATAGTAGAAAAGGGTCTGGGCTCTCTGTCTCTATTCTCAGTAACCCAATAAGGTCTCTGGAGTTATCCAAGGCATTCAAGCACTTAGAAAATGTGCCACGCACAAAGTCGCAAAAGATTTCTAAAAAATTGTTCAAGAGTATATGCCAGAAAAATTAAAAAATGAACTCAGGGAGGAAGAGATGCATGATAATGTAGAAACAATAAGTTAAGAACTCAAAAACCTTACAATTTTTAAGTCATCATAAGTATTCCTAGTGGTGCTTGAAAGTGTAGTCCATTTTTTTTTCCCGGTACCAGAGATCAAACTCAGGACTTTGTGCTTGCCCAGCAGGTGCTTACACCACTAAGCTGTCTCCCCTGACCCAGTAGTCCAATTATTAAGAAATTATTTTCCATAAAATAAAAACAAGAAGTAGAAAAAAATCAATCACATTGCTGAAATAAAATTTCTGCATATATCAACACAGGAAATAGTAAAAGAGTAAAAAGTAAGAATTTAAATTCAGTCTTATTTAAAGAAAGGCTGGGGACTGTAAGGGCTTGCTTAGCAAGTGCGAGGAGAGGGCTTGCCTAGCATGTGTGAGGCCATGAGTTTAATCTCTAACTATACAAAAATAATAAAAATAAAATAAAATGAAGTAGAGAGATACTGGTTAAAGTCAAAAATTGATTTGTAAAGAAGTTTAAAGGTGTTATTTGAAACATAAGACTTAGTCCCAGATAATTAATAGTAGTACAAATACCCTTCAAAGCAGTAAACAGAAATAACAAAGAAAACTTTATTCCTCAGGAAAGGGTAAAAGCTCATTTACATGAAAATATGAAGCCAAATAGAGATGTCAGAATGAGCCCAAATGTTTCCATCTTCCTAGTAAATAGCGACAGATAAATTCTCAATTTAAAGCCAGATAATTTAAGATTAGGTTTTTCTTAAAGAAAACTCCAGGTATATCTGTTTCTAAGAGATATCTCTCATACAAAATAATTCAGAAAGATCAAATATAAAGGAATGGACAAAGAAATAGTAGGCAAATGCTAGTAATAGAAAGCAACAATGCCAACACTCTAGGAAGCCCCAGAAAGAAGCATTAAATAAGACAAAGACAGTCTTACTTAAAGAAAGAAAATACTAACTCAGCGCACTTAACATTCAGCTATCAAACTACATTTTTTGAAACTCTGCTTGTGGTTCAAAAAGCAATGACAAATTTAATATAATAAAGGAAAATTATAACACCCCTTTCAGTAATTCATAGAGAAATCACATTTCTAAAGTGGGCATTTGGATATCATAATTAACATGATTAATAAGTATATAGAAAACTTAGTGACAGAAGAAGAATAATTAACATTCTTTTCAAATGCCCATGAAATCTTTACGAAACTGTTGATATATCAGGAAACAATACCCAAGAAATTTTCACTGGTAGAAATCATACAAACCATATTCTAGTACTATAGCACAATACAATGAAACATTAACAACAGAAAATGGTAAAAGTGAACATTATTTCCTAAAATAGAAAAATGCCTCCTAGATAGTATTGGGTTAAAAAAATCATAATTGATATTAAAGGCTATGATGATAGTTAAAAGACTTTATATAAAATTTGAGTGTTTTTGAAATTCCATAGAAAGCAAGGGAGGACCAAATAAACCAATGTGTGTTAAAAACTTGATACCTGCAAATAATTGTAATCAACCCATCACACGAATGAGATATTCCTATGGAGAGAGAGATAAAGACATACGACAGAAAATAAAATAATTGTTTTACTTGGTTGATAAAAATCCACAATGCCACTTAAGAAAAAACAAGAAATACAAATAATATTAGAAATGAAAGTGAGGCTAAGGTATAGATATAATAAACTTTTAAATCTTGACAAAATATGGTATAAAATTTATGCAAATATTTTATACTTGAATTTAGATGGACTGATTCATTTCTAAGAAGCTGCAAATGTTCAAAATTTAGCTAAGAAAGTTTAAGGGGGAAAAAACCCTCTAGTTAGACCAATAGCTATGAAAGACACTGAAAATGTCAGAAATAATCCCCTTACTGCTATGAGTTTTATTGATCCTTAAAAAACAGATAATGTCTATTAGGATATTTCACAACAACCAAAATTCTACTGTGACTCATATTATAAGCCCAACAAAACACTGATGGCAAAATCTGATCATAGAAAAAAAAATGTATAAATCTAACTCATGAATATAAATGCAAAATGTTCTAAACAACACATTACTAAATTGATTTATCAAGATATTAAAATGCTAAAATGACTAAGAATGGCTTATTGAAGGATTACAAGGATGCTTCAAAATTAATAAAATAATGCAAATAAACCCTTAATTAACTAAACATGCTTGTTAAAACAGGTAAGAAAGCTCAGTTGGATTATCAGACAAATGACTAATTTGAACATAACCATGTCTAAATTCTAGAGATAACCAATCAGAAAGTGTAGAGAGTGTAAGTGATCATTCTTAGTCATTTTAGCATTTTAATATCTTGCTAAATCAATTTAGTAATGTGCTCTTTAGAACTTTATTTAAATGACTGATTGGCGGGACATACTACTGGCCCCAGCCCAGGCGGAGCGTGGGTGAGACCCTCTTTCACCCCCTTGGGACAGCCCCACCACTCCATAGCACCTCCCCCACCCCGCCCGCCTAGTAGGAATTTCTGCTGAGTTCCGGGAACCCCGAGACCCAGTCTTAGCCCAGGTCTGGTGAGTGTGTGAGAGAGCTGCCTCTTCCCCCTATTCCACTTAGTCTCCTCCAGGCTCATCTCAGGCCTGGCATACAGGCCTGGGTTGTAACCCCAGCTGCCAACCCTGCAGAGAGTATAGAGAATAGAACCATCCAGCTAGTCCAGGAGCAGAAAATCTTGCCAGAAGGCCACAACAGTTTCATCCTCAAAGGCAGCAGCAGGAAGGAGCTGAGCACAGCAGCCAGACCCAAGCCAGGCACAGCTGGATAAATCCAAACTTTGTAGATCTGCACCTAAACTTCAGTAAGTACTAAGGTTATAACTGCAACGAAGATCTACAACAAAGGTCAAAAGAGAGTGCAACACAAAATGATGAGAAGGAACAAAATGCAACCTCAGAACCAAAGCCCAACTGTAACAAGGGCAAAGGACACTAACACAGAACAAATTGGGAATGACAGAGCTGAAAGCAATGAATCAATGGCTTCTGAAATAAAAAAAAAAAAAAACAGTTGCAGAAAGGTATAGATGAACTCAGATTGAAAATGAAAAAAGAAATCCCTGAATTAATAACATCTGCAGTAAAGAATCAAATGCAGAAACATGTGGAGGAAACCGAATGCCCACCCAGAACAAGTGTGGAGGATACTAGCTTGGCTCAAATGCATGACTTAATAGTGTCGATAGTAAATAAGCAACAGCAGAAAGATATAGAGGAACTCAGAGTGTAATTCTTTTCTGAAATAAAAAAAGAATTCCCAGAACTCATAGCATCTGAAGTAAAGAAGCCACTACAGAAATATAAAGAGGAAACCCAATCTGAAAAAA